GGAAATTTGTATTCAGCATAGATAAGCTCCTGGCATGAAAGCTCTTACACATGGATACACATTTCGTTCCACATGGTCATAGGCAGGCCATGGAAATTCTCTACCTCCTGGCTTTCCCACAATATTATGAAGTTCCAATATTCAGACTCACCAGATAGGATTCACAGTGCTAAGATTAGATCTCTTCTATTCATGGTGTGAGGGAAAATGTGAGCGTTTTTAGCTTAGTTGAGGTCCTCTTTTTATTGGAAGGAAATAATGTCCAATTTACTCTGTATTACCCTCTGGGAAAATAAAAGACTGAAGACAAACCCAGTTCTCATGGGGAGCAGGGTGCAGTTCTTTATGGAGCCTCATTCACTAGAATGATCAGTGTGTGCAACAAGGACCTGATCCTTATTCTTCTCACCTTGTGTTCCTGCTGTGACCTTTACTGCAAGGTCAATGAAAGTTCCACTTATATCTTCACCAGTGAAACACAAGCAGGTGCTCAGTGTACTTTGGTTGCTCTCTGTTACAATTTATATTCTAAATTTTATGACATCTAAATTTGAGCTCAGATATAGTTTTAACTGTCAGATTATTTAAATAATAACTTTTTATCATAGTGTGTTTATTCCTATTTTTCACTCTGAGAATGGAAAATCTGAACTGTGATTTAAGCTAGTTCTGAAAAACGAACATGTGTTTGTAGTGACACAATGTTTTAATTGTTACTCATACCACTTTAATAAAATATATGAATGAATAAAGCATTTTATTATAACACACATCTGAAACAAGTTGAATTATGACAGCAGAAAGAATAATATCCAATTCATTATAAATTTGGAGAATGTAGTTAATAAGAAGAGTTCAACAAAAAAAATATGGCCAGGTATGTGTACCAAAGGTATAGCCCTAGCAACACAGATTGCTTAGATCTGAGGATTTTAAAGCCAGAGCAGAAAAGTCTATGAAATGCTTATCTCCATAGAGCCACCAAAAGGCTAGAAATGGAGCTGTGGCTCAAATGGTAGAGTGCTAATCTTGAATAAAAAAACTAATAGAACACTCAGACCCTGTATTCAATTCCTAGGATACACACATACGCCCTCTCTCTCTCTCTCTCTCTCTCTCTCTCTCTCTCTCTCTCTCACACACACACACACACACACACACACACACACACGCACACACAGGTAGCTCTGAAGTGGAGCTGTGAAACCTGGAAAAGGTTTGAATGGTTGGGATACTACCTAGACAGCATTTGGAATGCTGAAAGCTG